ATTTGATTTCTTATAAATAATAAATTAAATTAATAAAATTAATTTGAATTTCAGATAAGGACTAATTATATGCCTACAAATGATTTTGTTCATTTTTAATTAATCTCATTGTATATTTTCGACACTTTCAGGGTTCAATTGCAGAATGTTGTTTCAAAGGGTTTTGAAGAATGCTCTTGTCCCTTTCAAAAAGGGAATAATAGGTAATTAATTAGATCAAATATTTATTTGATTGTTTTTTTTTGGCAGAATTCTACATGATAAAAATTTTCCTTCTTTGATGTTGCAGACATCTTGCTGGTGAATTAAAACTTGTATTGCAATGTACAATCCAATACAAGGTTGGTTAGATTATACTGTTCAAAAATAATATATTAGAAAATTACATTTACTTAATTAATTAAAAGATATGATCGTTGTCTTTAATTAGATTAATCTTTTAGCCACATTGCCGAAGAAACATAATTTAAGATCTATAGAGAGAAATTTAAAACAAATGAGAAATTACTAGTTAGTATTAATTAAAAATATATGTATAGCATGTATAATTTTTTTTTGTATTCCCCTATAGCAATTAAACTGAATATTTCTTTTAAAATGATAGAAGTTATTGAAATAGTATTTGGAAATTTCACGTGTAAAATGAAAAAAAGTTAAAAAAATGAAGATAGAATGAAAAAATAATTTTGCAGATGAAAAATGCTCTCCATGTACATTTCTAAATAAAAGAGGTACTGTTAATTAAGAATTATCAAAAATAAATATTACATATTGCATTGGTGCAATAATTAAAAGGGAAAATCACTTCAAGGTGTCTTGTAAGGATTTTAATCACCAAGAGGTCTCATGAAATGTACAAGATACTCTCAAATTTTAAATCTTATGCAATTATAACTTGACAAAGGAAAATGATAACTTGAGCATGGGTTTAATACCAAGTTATTATTTTCCTCTGTTAAGTTGTAATTGCACAATATTTGAAACTTGACAACAATTTATATATTTCATAGAATTTTAAGGTAATTGAAATCATTGTGTAGGACTTTTTAATGATTTTCCCTAAGAAAAATACACAAATATTGGGCTAAGATTGTTACTATGAAGTGATTAATTTTGCATGCAGAACGGTCCATTCTCTTCGCAAAGATCGCCACCACAAAGTTATCCACAATATTCCTATCCTTCACATAATTTTTCTGCATATCCAAATTCGTCATACCGGCCTCCACCTTTTTTCCATCATCCACCTCAGCCGCCGCCGCCGTTGCCTCATCATTATCCGCCGCTGCTATACCCACCGCCGTCGCCCTATCAATATTATTTACCTCAATATCAAGTTCCTTTGTCCCATCCGCCGCCACCACTACCAGGACCATCACATTTTAGTCTTCCTCCAATAACAGGCCTGGTTGCTTCCCTGGCTTCAATAGGAGAGACCCTGTTTGAATTCTTTAACGGACTTTGAGATCATTTCATCCGTACCTTTAATGCGAACATATATGCAGATGACAAAGCCAACATTAGATCACGTTAAACTTAATATTGATTGTACCTTATTTAATTTCATGTGTGTTTTCTAAGTTACTAGCAAGTACGTACAATTTGAGTTTATGTATGTGTAGTGATACCGGATTCCGCATAATTTCATGTGTATTTTCTAAGTGGGCAAGTGTTGAGATTCCATACATGTAATATATAACACACACACCCACACTTTCTTGAAACCAATTATCTTAATGGGTTAAATGGCAATTTAAACCCTAAACTATAAGTTAAGAACCATTTGAATCCTTAACTCATTTCTGTTGCAATATGATCCCTAAATAATTATATTTAAAGCAACTTAATCTTTACTGTTAATTTGGTAAATGTTAACCTTCCTGTTAGAGAAGAGAAAATTTGTTTTGACCCATATTTTTGGTTATGCGGACGCCAAAAAACACCTTAGTCTTCACAACTCTCACTCCCCTAGTAACTACTCTCCACTTCTGCTTGCATTTCCCTCTCCCTCTCCTCCTCCTCCTCCTTGTCTCCGCCACCGCCGCAATTAACATCCCCTGTATCGGCCTCCTTTGATCTCCTTCGTTGCTCATATGCATCCCCTCCATCACGCTCAAATAAAATTTACTTTTAATAAAAGAAGGGGAACATTTAATTTGGGAGAAGATAAAAATTTAATCATTTATTTATTAATTTTTTTTAAAAAATATGGAGAACATAAAAGTAAAAAAATATTTAACACAAACTAATATAATACATATTTATAAATAAATTTAAACTTAATTATTTTCATTTGAAAAATAAAAAAATTTAAAAATTCGTTAAAATGTTTGTAAAAATTATTTAATAATTTTAAGTTCATTTCCCTAACAAAAATAATATTTGCTAATATTTTATTAAAAAATAGAATATATATATATGTATATATAGTCATATAAATTATTTTACCATACTAATGGTTGAAAATAAAATATAATACATGTATATCTTTTTAATAATACATTATTTGATATATGTGTATATAGTTAAATAATATATATATATATATATATATTTAATTTTGCTTATAACAATTGCAAGTGTATTTCAATTTAATTGGTAAAGAATGATGATTTAAGATTAGGAGGTAAAGGTCAAGAGCTTAAATATTTGCTTTGACATATTTTGTTATAAACATATAATGTGACGCATGTTGGCAACATGGCATGACATGGCAAAGATGTGGTGATTTGGTGCGCATGTGGGGAGGGTGATGTGGAGTGCCGTTGATGTTGCGCCTGAATAAACTTTAAAACTTTTTGGCGGTAACTTTTGAATATTTGACATTTGGCCAAGTTAATGGTGGGGCCTATATTACCCTAAATGTAATTGTTTAAAGGTTTAAATGTATTAAAAATAAGTTTAGGGTTCAAATTATTCTTGGGCTCATAATTTAGGATTCAAATTGTCATTTAGCCCTATCTTACTTAATTACAGATACCTCCGTTTTATTTTTAAAATCTATTGGACAAAGTGCAAAAAAGATTAAGCGGATGGAGGAGGTTAACATTAGTTCAATCGCTAACACAACGTATACCGATTGTCTAGATGCATCATGAGGTATTGTTAAAAAATATTTGTAAGCAGATTGAAAAGACGCCCAGAGATTTTTTTTTTTTTTCCGGGATGATGGTGAGGGTAAGAGGAAAATGCACCCTATGGGGTGGGAGAAGTATGTTTACCAAAGAAACAAGGTGGTTTTGGATTTCAAAATTTGATGAGAATGAATGAGGCGTTAATTGGAAAGATAGGGTGGGAGGCCATTTCTCAATCAGAGAAATTAATGTCACAGGTTTTAATTTCTATGTAAGGACAAAAAAGACACACTCACGATTACATGCACAGTAAAGCAAGGTGACTTGGTGGTATGGAAAAAATTAGGAGAGATATGGCAAAAATTGGTTCAAAACATTAAATGGGAAGTGAATAATGGAATTAAGGTGAATTTTTGGAAAGATGAATGGCTGGATAATGAGAGGCCATTAATGAACAAGACTTTAAGAAATATCTTTGTTGAAAATCTAGAGGACAACGTTGCACATTTTGAAGGGGAAGAAGGAGAATGGAAAGTGGATGTGTTGCATGATTTGTTTCCCTAGAACATTTTATCAAAGATTCAAGCCATGTTGGTACCCAGATATGATGATGGTGAAGACAGAATTATGCGGTCAAGAAAAGGAAAAAAAGAATTATTCTGTATCATAAATGTATGAGAAGTTGAATGAGGTGCAGATAACTGAGGTGGATGAGGTTTGGCAGAAGATATGGGAATGGCAAGGTCCTAGAAGAATACAGGTATATTTATGGTTATTAACAAATGATTTTTTATTGACTTCTGTGCGTAGGGAGAAAATTCTTGGGACCTATCTTGTCTGCTTTCGATGTGGAGCTGCAGGGCAAGAACTCGTGTGTGCAGAAAAGGTAACAAATTTCTTCTCCCTGCCTTTACATGATTGGGTTCTGATAAATTTGCAGAAAGAGCATAAATTAGATAAAGGGTGGAACTTGATCTTCGCAATATCGATCTAGTATCTCTGGACTTGGAGAAGCTCACAACTGTTCGAGAATGGTTTCTGCTAGCCATCTGAACCTGAACCAATAATCAGAAAGTTTGCTAGGGAAGTGAAGGGGGTAAGGAAGATGAATGGTATGGAAGTCAGTGCTATTGTTGCTAATATAAAGTGGAAAAAACCAAAAGAGGGATGGATAGAATTAAATATTAATGGGGCTGTACAAGGGAGTGAAGGGGAAGCTAGCTGTGATGGCTTATTTAGAAATAAAGATGGTAAATGGGTAGGGGGATTTGCAAGGAAAGTGGGGAGATGCTCGGTGGAAAAAGCGTAAATGTGGGGAATACTTATAGGTGTCATGCTTCTAAATCAAATAGAAGGGAATGCTGTCATCATTGAAACTGATTCATGGATAGCTGTCCAAAAAAAGAAGCTAATGATATATATATATATATATGGAGAGGAAAATCATTTCACAAGGTGCATAAAGCATATTATTGGGAATAGATGGCTAGTGAAGGTGGTTCACACTTTTGGAAAGGCAATACATGCACAGATTGGCTGGCCAAATGGGGATACATGCAATCCTACTCGGTTCACTTGTTACAGGATCCTCCTGATGGGCTGCTAGCTAGAACTACTAAACAGAGACGAGAGTGGCTGGTCAAGCCAGAGAATTTTGAATATTTAGTTTGTCTGTTTGGGCTTTGCCCTGTTTTGTACCAAGAAAAAAAAAGAAGTTTGAGATGTGTCTAACCAAATGCTTTAAACCATTTTGATGAAGGAGACTATTCTTAAACATACTCAATATACAAAGTTTAACAGAAAATACACATGAAGTTTGGTGGAATCCAATATCATTACACAATTACGTACATAAACTCAAACCGTACTTAGTAATATCTTAGAAATTAAACACACATGATATTAAATAAGGTACAATCAAAATCAAGTTTAATTTATAAATTTAAAAATTGAAGCCATTAAATGTTGGCTTTCTTATCTGCAGGCATGTTCGCATTTAAAGGTGGATGAAATGATATATTCATTCTTCAAAGAATTGAAACATGCTTGATCCAATTGAAGCAATGGAAGAAACCATTTTTATAGGAAGAAGAAGACTAGAAAGTGATGATCTCGACGGCCGCAGATGAGGAGGCAGCGGTTGGGACGATGGAACTTGATATTGAGGTGGATAATGAGGTAGTAGCAATGGCGGAGGAAAAGGATATAGAGGTGAATAATATTGATGTGGCGGCGGCGATGGATATGCAGACAATAGATAATGAGGCAGTGACGATGGATATGAAGGCAGACAATGTGGCGGCGGCTGCGGTGGAGGATATAGAGGTGGATGATTGAAAACAAGGGGAGGCCAGTATGACAAAGTTGGATTTGCAGAAAAATTATGTGAAGCATAGGAATATTGTGGATAATTTTGCGTTGGCAATCTTTCCAAAGAGGATGGATTGTTCTGCATGCAATGACAAAATTGATCACTTCAAATGTTCAAGGCTAATTACAAGTCATTTTGTAACAATCTTAGCCAAACATTTTACATAGAGATTTTTTATTATTACTCCAAATATGAGATCTGTAAATATTTATGATTTTTATTTTTGTCAATTCTTTAAAGTACTTACCTGTTCTTTATTTAGAATGGTTAAATGTAATTTTGGTCCTATAACTTTATACTTTCTTTGTTAAAAAATACAAGATATTTTTAACCGAATCTCACCTTTTAATAAAGCAGTTACCTATTTTTAAATTAACCATATCTTTTCATATTTATCCCTATTAAATACTCTACAATAAATATAAAGTCATTTATTAACAGAGGCACTTTTGAAAAAAGAGGCAATGATTACACCTCAAAAGATTAAAAATGCCTTATATTTTTTAACATTTAACTCCTCAGAAAATGTTTTACATTTTTAAATGTAGGGAGTAATAAGTTTTAATTTAATCCCTTAATTTTATAAAATATCTTTTCATTCCTCTAACCCTAGCTGGCACCGTTAGTTTCAATGGTTATTTTTTGTGCCAATCTTTATTATTATTTTTAAAAAAATTAAATTTAATATTTTTAAAATTTGAGAATATTTTTTTAATATTTAAAAGTTTAATATAGAAATTTTGTAATGAAAGTATCAGTGTTAAGGTTAAAGGAATGAAAAGACACTTTATAATATAAAAGGATCAAAATAAAATTGTGTAAACTTAAAGAACTAAATGTATGTTTTAAGCATTTAAAATAATAAGTAGAGGACATTTTTCATTTTCAAAATTATTTTTTTCATTCTATCTCCTTTTTTATAAAAAAAGTTTGACATTTTAATATTAAATTTCCAAATACTATTCAAACAACATCTATCATTTAAAACAAATGTTATCTTTTAATTGGCAATACAAAAAAATTATACATACTATACAAACTATACATCTATCTTTTTTTTAATTCATACTATAACTAGTTGACTCATTTGTTTTAAATTTCTACATATATCTAATTTCAAACCAACTAGTTAGTCAGCTTCACGAGCCATGCACCTAATTAATCATATGAAGATTATGCCTTTTCTATAGATTTTGGTAAAATAATAACATGATCAAGTCATAAAAATAATTGTATTGATGTATTCGATTCAATCAAACTTAATTAACATATGATTTACAGCAATATGCATAAAAGATTAATCTAATTAAAGATAATGATCCTGCCTGATAGTTAATTAAGAAAATGTATTTTTCTCTAATTATTATTGCACAGTTTAATCTAACCAACCTTAGATTGGGTTGTGCACTGCAATACAAGTTCTAATTCACCACCAGCAAGATGTCTGCAAAGTAAATTAAAGAAGGAAAATTTTTATCATGTAAAATTCTGCAAAAAAACAAAATCACATAAATATATGACCTACTTAATTACCTATCATTTCCTTTATGAAAGGGACAAGACAATTCTTCAAAACCTTCTGAAACCACTTTCTGCAATTGAATCCTATAAGTGTCGAAATTCCAAAGAGATTAATTAAAATTGAACGAAAAGGGTTCAAAGCTTGGGAAAATACAACTGTTGTCACTATATATTTTTAGCATATTTTGGTATTAGTCCATATGCTTTTTTTTTTTTCGGAGTTCTTACATAATTTAGTTTCATCTGTCTGCTATATATGTTCCTTATTGTCACTAACAAAATTAATTCTGTCGATGTGTACATAACTCTATTAATTAAGATGTATTGAACATTATATGAGCGTAACGTCTACTAACTTTTCTATATATTTGCCCTAACCATTATGTCTTCTTTTTGAATTTGCTTTTACCATCATCACACATTCTGATTTAATTTTCTACTCATATTTATACAACTCATTATAATTTTAATAAGTTAACACAAAAAGTAATAGAATTTATGTGCACGTTAGCCACTGTTAAGTCCTCATGTCATATTTAAAATTATCAGCATTGACATTGCAAAACGATGAAATTGAGAGAAAATTATACCTAAGTCCCACAGAAGAGATTTAATTATCAAGAAATTCCATGAAATACACAAAATACTCTTAAGTCTCACATCCTATGCAGTTACAACTTGATAAAGGGCATTTACAATTAAACAACAGGCTCGCAAAGGAAAATGACAACTTGCAATAGCAAGTTGCAAACATCTTTTGCCAATCTGTAAATGTACAAGATTTAGGACTTGAGAATATTTTGTGCATTTTATAGGACCTCTTGGTAATTAAATATCTTCTATGAGACTGATGTGTAATTCTCCCTAAAACTTAAGAGATTGTGAGAAATTTTTTAAAAAAGGGACTAACATAAAAAACACACTAAAAATATAGGGACAGTTATATTTTTAAAAGTTATTCTTTTTCATCATCATCTTCATTATTTTCCAATGGTGGTCGTTCGAATATTAGGAGAGCCTTAAAACTTCATTCTCTGATTTGGTTGAAAATGAAAAGTGATGATTTTTGTTTTTAAATTCTAGTTAAAATAAAATAGAGAATTTAACGAACAAAAGATTAGCTTAAAAAAAATAGAGAAAAGTATTATTACCTGCCACTGCCCATAAAATCATCGTAAATGAAATTAGTATGAATATTCTTCCAAACCACGAATTTAAGCTCATTTTGGCCTTCAATTAGTGGGAAATCTAACTTATTTGAAAAAGAGCCATTCATTCCTCCATCTGCAACAAAGAGAGATTATAGAGTTCACAAGTCATGAAATCGATAAAACATATTTAGTACAATTTTTTTTACATAAATTTACATTGATTAATTAAGAAAATAAAAAATTACAGTCAACTCTTAAATAAAAAAATTGTTAATTTTTGAACTTATTTTCAAGTCAAACTTTAATATTTACATATAGGTAATTAACTTTTTTACATGGAACTTGTATGTAATTAATTCACCCTTAAAAAAACCGATGTAAAAGATCGCAAATAGTATTTGTATTTCTAATAAATGAAAATGAATTTTGCTACAATGCATTATATTGGTGTAATGTATATGCAAGAGATCCAACAAATTTAAATATAACTAAGAATAAGAGTAATTCACCTTGACTTGGTATTGTAATGTAGGTTTTGCCCATTGAAAACAGACATACAAGGGATCATGGCTCAACGAAACACAATTTGATCCCGAAAGTATGTCTCATCCTACGACTAGAGAGACAGACAAGAGATGAGTTTGATTTTAGGGACATAATAATTAAGGGGAAAAAATGAAAGTATAAAACTAAATAATTAAGAAACATGTAGAAAAATAGGGTTTTATAAGTCATACCAGTAACCTCAAGCTGGTGACCATGGCCATGGTTGATCGATGACGTCATTGATATATATATATATATATGGACCAAGGGGCTAATGAGGAATTGAATATGAATTGATGAAATAAGAAACCTCTTCTACTTCTAAGGGAATTCAAGCTTCTAGATACAACCTCACTACTCAATTATCAGTATATATATAACACGCATGGTTGACTGAATCAATTTCATATTTTCTATAAACGTGTTGGGTCCAGAAAGCTACGTTCAGTGCTTAAGTAATAGGCAATAAATTGCTTTAGCCAGAAAAAAAAAAGGCAAGAAATTGGAATCGACCTGTTAGAAGACTTCGAAGAGTTTAACTATGATTTACAACTAATGCATCTTTATAAAAATTTTCTTATTTATAATAACTCAAATACATGCATGAGGATGATGAAGATGGAGTGAGAAGTACGGGGAAACGATTCAGACAAGTTGTCTAAGATTGTACTGAGACAATTAAGAGCCCGGATTAATATTGGAGAAATGAGGTAAAATATCTCAAGTATAACTTGAAGACTTAATGTAGACTCAAGAAGTTATAGTTGAACCAAGATAAACACTCATACAAGCTTCTCTCTCTCTCTAATCATTTTGGTGATATCGTTCCTACTCTATCTCATTTTATTTACACATTATTTTTTAAAATTTTAAGTAGCCCAATTCACTCCCCTCTTAGGTACTTTTACACACTTTGTGAACGTACTTTGTTTATCCCTATTTTTCATAGCTCAAAATAAATGATTTAAGCTTGGAGAGTTTAAATGGGGTTAAGCATTACCCTTTTAGAGGAGAGTGATTTAGACTTGTTGTTTGGGATTGTACTATGGTAACTAAAGGCCTAGATTAATTTTGGTGGACTTAGTGGAGAAAATCTCAAGTGAAGCTTGGAGACTGGTCGTAAACTCAAGTGGTTGGAACTGAATCAGTATAAATACCCATGAACTTCTCTCACCCTCACTCTCAGCATATTTTGATGACATTGTTCCTTCCCTAATCTCATTTAATTTTAGCATTATTTGTCAAAATTTTTAATTAGCCTAATTCACCCCACAAAAATCACATTTACAAAGTCTTCTAATAGGTCAATTTCAATTTCTTTCCTATTATTTATGCAGTGCATGCATAGCTTTCTGGAGCCAACACTTTGGTAGAAAATCTGAAATTGACTCAATCAACCATGCATTTATGAGTCAATTTCGGATTTTCTATCAGCGTACGTGTTGGGTCTAGAAAGCTAAGTACACTGCTTAAGTAATACGCAAGAAATTGCTTAGGTCAAAAAAGAAACGGCAAGAAATTGGAATTTACATATTAGAAGACTTTTAAGCGTTTAACTAGGATTCTACAATTAACGCATTTTAATAAAAATATCCTATTTATAATAAATCAAATACAAGCATCAAGATGATGAAGATGAAGTACTGATATATATATATATATATATTGGTATCAGTATCATTCTTAATGGTCTATTTTGTTGGCATTCAGGCCAATAATACTTAAATTTAAATTAATAGTATCGTATACTAAATACCTGAAAGGAAAAAAAAAAAGGAGCTTTTAGCCTCATTAATTAACAAGAAAATGATAATTGAGAAAAAATATAGCTTTGAACTATACTTTATTTTTATTGTTACTACAAGGACCCTCATGCATGTGGGAAACTGGAGTACCAAAAACATGAAAGCAATTTTAAAAATATTTAAATTCAAAACACTTATTCAAACCAAATTTTTTTAATTTTAAAAACAGAAAAAATGAAATAGTTTTTTTTATATAAAAAAAAAATCAAACATGTGCTCGAACTCTTAAAAGTCAGTCTTCTAATAAGTTAATTCCAATTGCTTGAGCAGTGTACGTAGAGCTTTCTGGGCCATACACGTTCGTAGAAAATTAAAATTGTTAGTCAGTTCACCATGCATCGTATTTGACTGTTTATATATTGATAATTATTAGTAAATAAAAACAAAGTACAGATCAAAGCTACATTTTTTCTCAATTATCATTTTTTTGGGTGATTGATGAGGCTAAAAGCCCTTTTTTCCCTCAATTATTTAGTACATGATACTATTGGTTTAACTTGAAGTATTATTGGCCTTAATGCCAACTAAATAGACCATTAATAGTGATACCAACACCAAAATATATATAGGGAGAATGGAAGCAAGGGACCCTAGAGGAAAAGGAGCAATAAGGACCCAATATATATGAAGGTTCATCTATGCACAACTAAAGATTCATTGATTCAGATCAAATCTCACTGCTGATGTGAGCGCCTTATTTGTGAGCTATCTTTAAGTACCTCTATAAGCATGCCCTGGCCCTGGTGTGCCCCTAGGACCCAACTCTGCTAAACTTTATTCTTTCTAAAAAAAAACAAGTTTCATCAATTCACTTATGCATAGATGAACCTTCAGTTGTACATGGCCATCATTGCTTTTTTTCTCCTTTAGGAGCCCTTACTACAATTTGTAAAATCCTCCCAAGAGGGTGTGAATTGGGTTAATTAAAATTTAAAACAATTTAACTAGATATAATTATAAGGAAGGAACGATATCATTAAATAGAATTGAGAGAAGGAAGAGAAGCTTTGCAAGGAGTCTTTATCTTAGTTATGTTCTAACCACTTGTACCTATGGCCAGTCCCCAAGATACATTGAGATTTTTCACTAACTCCACTAAGATCAATCTCGAATTCTTAGTTGCCATGCATAGTACAATTCAGACTCTTTCTTGAATCTGTAACTCTCCCCCTTACAAAGATGATGTTAAAACCCCTTAAGCTTCTCGAGCTTAAGTAATTCTATCTCAAATGAGAAATATAGAGAAGTTAGAGTGAATTCAATAATGAATCATTGCTATAATAAAACTCTCTTACAGAGTGAATATACAATTAATGAAGCACTCAAAATATTGAATTTAATAGCAGAAAGTAGTTAGAGAATAAATGCAAGTAGATGGCTCAAACCACTTCCTTATCTTTTACTTATTAGATAAGTCCTATTTATAGTTGTTTCTTGAAATAGATCCGTTAGACTCATGTATTGGATTTTGAATACTTTGTCTATATTTCCTTTGAGATTTTCATTGTTTAAGGCAATAAAACAATGCTTTTCCAGCAGGTTTGTGTGTTGTGGGTGCCTTAAGAGAAGTAATGACTATATGCATTAGATGCTTTCACAAAAAGGTAAAAGAGAGTAATACTGGTAGAGCAAAGATATATTAGTAGGAAGAATTAATCAAGGATTGAGATAGCTTTTAATCTAACCCTTAGTTGTTTTTTAAAAGACTCTAGAAAGATAAGAGAGTAGGCACAACATAGAGAAGTAGAAAAGGATTGAGATAGAAAGTATTTCGAGATGCTCTATTTTGGAAGCAAAAAATAGAGGAGAAATCTTTAAAGATATATTGATAGGAATGGATATATACTGGTAATAGTATGATTGACTGAAGAGAGAGAGAGAGAGATAAAATATATATACTAGTAGAATGAGGATATACTTGAAGGTCTTCATGTAAGAGGTGATGATTGAAAGAGATTTCTACCAGAGGGATAAGAGGCATTGGGTAGGAAGAAGATATTTGGATAGGTCTCATATATACCAGTGGGATAAACAATAACACATAAGGCTAAGAGTAAAGAGAGACATTTGGGTAGAAGTAGGACATACTGGTAGGAATAGGGATATCCGATAGAACTTATGTAGTGAAAAAGGTTAACAAATACCGGTAGAAGTAATATCTTTAGGTAGAAGACATTAATACTAGTAGGAATGACAAGTGCACAAATGCTAAAGACATTCAGGTAGGAAGAAGTTATACTAGTAGTATGAAAATATACTAATAGGATTGATGCATACTAGTATGTTCAAGAATTAGTTCAATAATAGATTTGAATAGGATTGATTTAAGCTTAAACCAATTAAGGGACAATAAATAATTCAAACAATTATTTCAAGGATAGAAGACTAGAAGAGGATTAGAAAAGCTAGAGATTTTTACACACAGCTACTCAATTTCCTTGAATTTATCATGGCCTCTAATCTATAAGAACAAATTTCTCTATTTTTGCAATAATTAAAACTAGGGTTTAATAGAATTCTCCCATATATATATATATATATATATATATCTCCATCTTCATCATCCTCATGATGTAGATACATGATTTTTAATTTAGTATAAGTAATAATAAGGTTAAGGTCTAATTTTTTCCCTGTACTTATTTTTTAGAAGTACTGGACACCTTACGCTCTTAAATAGGACAATTCTCTGCTTGACCTATTTTTTAAATGAGCAAAAATTCCTTATATTAATTACTCATTAAATAATCCATTTTCTCATGACATATCATCACGTGGGACCAAATAAATTGTCAGAAAGCCAAATTCTCTTCTTACTTGACCAAGTCGTCACCCTCTTTCAAGTTTGTTAATCACCGCATAGAGAAAGAGAGCTTTAGTCATTTCCTTTGTCTTTCGTCCTTCTATCATTCATCTAACCAAGACATATAAAGAGCTTCTCGCACCTCTACTTCCTTTTCCATCTGTTAGCTTCCTTGTAGGTGGATAGCAATTCATATTAGGCGAAGATCAAAGGTGGCTTCCTTGTGTTTGAACTTCAATAATAGGGCACTTGTATGAAATGTTACAAGCCTTCAATCATTGTTGTTAGGGAGAGAGAGGATTTTTTTGGGTATACATGTAATAATGTGAGTTAAAGAGAGAGATTTGAAGATTGTTGTTCAATTTTTGATCGAGTTCTTTAATTTTTCTTCTTATCCAATCCATAAGTCTATTGTTTTCTTCATTTTGACTAAGCTTCTAGGGACTCATGATGTTCAAATTGCTTCTCTCTTTGCTATTGAATTTGTTTTTTCTTCTAATAAAGATAAAAGGAGGTGGATTGTGTTTAAGAACTTGTTACCACTTCTCATTCTTGTTGCTATAGACATGTTGGATAGTTGTTCCTGTATAATTTTAAGGTTGTTTTCTAGCTCTTGCTTAGTAGTCTTTCATGAAATATTTACTGGAATTGGATATTAAAAATGACAAGTGCCCATTAGAAATTAATGGTTAGGATG